CAAAAGCATATTCCAAAAGCATATTCCAATGAAAAATACCTGGAGTTATAAGAAGCAAGTGTTAAGAAAGATTTCTGCAATCAGACTATGCATTAAATGGTACCATTTGCATGGTAAAAAATAAAAGCCAGAACCGGGTTTTTGAAAAATAAATAAAGCGGAAGGACAGCTTTCTGAAATAAAGGACACATGGTCACTGTAGTTCTACTTCATATTGTAAAAGAGAATCGTATCATCAGTAGATATGTGTGTATGTGTGTGTGCGCACATACTGAGAGAGAGGGAGAGAGAGAGAGAGAGAGAGATAGACAGACAGACAGACAGACAGATAGACAGACACACACACAGAGAGAGAGATAGGTAGGTAGACAGATAGATAGACAGATAGACAGATAGATTGATAGACAGATAGATAGATAGGCAGGCAGGCAGGCAGGCAGACAGACAGACAGACAGACATCAGGATTCTTGCCATTTTATGGATCGTATTTTCATCACCTTTGAGTTTTATCCTATTGCTCTCACAATAGCTGCCACTTATCTGTAGTCTGCCAGAAGGAAAGGTCAGAGCGGAGCCAAAGCAAATGATGATGAAAGGCTGAGAAGTGCAGGCCTGTTAGAAAACTCTGTTTTCCTACTTTCCATCTGGATCCTCTCCTCCCTTGCTTTCTTTCATCTTACGCTCTTCTCATCTTCACACCGCCTCTCTGCCTTTCCCTTTGGGCATGATGAATCTGGACTTCCCCAATCCTTAGTTACTGTAAGAATAGTTCCCTTTTTATATCCTTAAAAAAAAGGTGTAGTGGGGCAAAGGAGTGCTGGAGTAGGAACTTCATAATAGTTTCTAAAGGATTGCTTAGAGTTTACTACTCTTTTGCAGCAAAAAACAACAAAGAGTTTTGTGAGACCTGGCCTATACATGCATGAACGCACAAGATATTGTGGCTCATACTCTACTTCCTCAGACCGATGGTGGGGCAGGAAGACCAGAAGGGAAAGAAATAAGAATGATGAACCCTAACCTCCCCAAACAACACTTGTATGCATTTATAAAGAGTCAGGACTCTTTTCTCAAAAGTATACTCCTTGCTTCGAAAGGTGGAATCTCAAATCTCTTCTTCCATAAGCCGTCGAGGTCATCATACCCTGTCTGTATCCATACTCTAATCACCCAGAGTCCATTAGGGGAGACAGGTGGTGAAATAAATAAAATAAAACTCTTGTTTTGGGGATAGCAGCTCAGTAGTTCCCACGGCCACTACTTATCTTCCATTATGGCGTCTCTCACTAGATGCCGCCTTCTAACCTTGGTTTATGAGAAAGGTAGCTTTCAGGTAATAAAATGGTAAAATTTGAGTTTGGGTGGAGGATGAGGAAGTGGCCCTTCCTTCCTCTGGAAACAAGCCAATTTCAGAAGAGAGAAATGAAATCAGGCTTTATTGTAAGCAATAAATACATTTATTTAAAAATAAATTTAAACAATAGTTTAAAATATGAAATCTCCCCTTTAACTTTAAATACTCACAAGGCACACATTCAATAGGAAAGGGGATGAAGTACAGGACTGTTCAGATTGTAGGAAAACAGCAGGTTGATATAAAAATAAAAAAACCACAAAAGTATACTGCATCCAGCAGATCATAAGAAACTACTGTTCTACTATGAATAGGATTTCTCTGCCCAAAGTCTCAGCAAAGAAATTGGAAGATTCCATTCACTTATTTATTTCCAAATGTGTATGGCTGCCTAATTCTATGCCAACTCTGGGTGGCATGAACTATTAAAACATCCTGAAATAATAAACAACAGAAAGAAGAGACAAACTCCCAGGAAGAGTAAAACAAACACACCCCTCAATCAAAAACATACCACAAGGGACATATTATTGTTTCTATTGTTGTTTTCATCATCACCATTACAAGAAAGGTTTTAAAGCTTTTTTTAAAAAATAGATTTTCTGGAACATACCTGAAGTATAATTCAGAACAGAATCCCTTATTTTGTATAGAAACGTAAAAGCAGAAAATACTGGTTTAATCCAAGCGCAATCAAACAGAAATGAAAGACATATCGCATTTCTCTAGTCATTTACCTATTTCTTCCAACTGAAATGAAAGAATCCTGTATCCTTCCTATATTTCTTTTTTTCCTGAAAATTCCAGACTTGGTCCCATGTTCTCTCAGCCTCCGTTCCCATCTTCTCCTTCAGTTTCCATAGGAAACCTTTGTCTTTTAAAAGATTCAAATCCTCCATGCTTGGAATTATGGAGGAATTGGGGTATCTTTCTGGGTATCATAAGTATTTGCTCAGACTACCCATAAGTAGTTTGAGCAAATGACAACATGTAACTTTGGAACACAGTGATGGTCATAAATGCAAGGACTGATCGCATAGCTAGGTTTTTTTTTTTACACCATCATAACTTTGGACAGTCACGAAATAAGGCAGTCTGAAAGTGAGGACTATTTCACACAAGCCCTCCCAACCATGCTATGGCATTGACTAATCCACATTTGGTCATTTACATATTTCTGAACAAGTGGAAAATCCTAACACCATCCCATTTACCTTTCCATGAGTATATAATAGTAGTATTTCCATAACAACCCACTGCTTGTCCTGCTACCTATGGCAGCTTTTTCACAGTGAACTTTGTTGTGCACCCAGACTGCACATTTGCATCTGTGTAAGCATAGTGGGATGTGGTGGATCAGTGGCTAAGATGCTGAGCTTGTCGATCCGAATAGTTAGCAGTTCGGCAGTTCAAATCCCTACCGCCATATAACAGAGTGAGCTCCCATTACTTGTTCCACCTTCTGCCAACCTAGCAGTTCAAAAGCATGTAAAAAATGCAAGTAGAAAAATAGGAACCACCTTTGGTGGGAAGGTAACAGCATTCCGTGTGCCTTTGGCATTTAGTCATGCCAGCCACATGACCACGGAGACGTCTTTGGACAGCCCTGGCTCTTCGGCTTTGAAACGGAGATGAGCACCGCCCCCTAGAATTGGGAACAGCTAACACATATGTGTGAGGGGAACTTTACCTTTACCTAAGCATAGTGAAGTTTGTTTATCTGGGTAGTGATGTTGCAACCTAAACTACAATGGGGTTTATTTGGATAAAATTTCCCCATGGGAGCAATAGCACTTAGACTTGTTCTACCGCTTCACAGTACTTTACAGCACTCTTTGAGTGGTCTACAAAGGTGAGCAAATTTCCCCCAACAATCTGGGTCCTCATTTTATCGACTTTAGAAGGATTGAAGGTTGCGCCCATCACAATCAAACTCTAGGCTGTGAGCAGAGTCAGCCTGCAATACTGAGCCACTGTGCCACCAAAGCAATGCTATCCACCCATTTCCTTTAAGTTCATCCATCTCTTATACCTTCAGCACTACAAAAAAAGATACTTACATGCTTCTTTTCTTCTTCTTCTTCTTCTTCTTCTTCTTCTTCTTCTTCTTCTTCTTCTTCTTCTTCTTCTTCTTCTTCTTCATCATCATCATCATCATCATCATCATCATCATCATCATCATCATCATCATTTTAGCCATTGTCTATCCACTGCAGGATGAAGGCCTCTTCCACATGTTTCCAATCTAGATGGTTCTGAACTTTCTTTTGCCAGTTGGGTCCATTATACTTGCTTCTTTTATTATATACAGGGTTAGCTGAACTGAAAAAAAGAGATATATTACTGTAAAATGCACAATCTGTCCCCACCTTTAAAAAAGTCCTGCTCTTGAATTTCGTAGCATGGAATGAGCCAATGTGAATTAATTTTCCTTTCCTTTTTTTCTTTCTTTCCTTCCTTTCCTTCCTTTCCTTCCACACTCCCCCCCCCCCGGCTATATCTCAGATACAGAATCCGTCCTGGATTGGCAACAACGGTGCCGCCTCTCCTGTGCCTGCCTGCGTAGTGCCCTGTGACTCGGTGCCTTCCTGCATGTCTCCCCATGCTCATCCCCATACCACCGGAGGAGTCTCTGAATTCCTGAGCGTCTCGGGTCCCGGCAGCCACGTGGGGCAGACGCACATGGGCAGCCTCTTTGGCAGCGCCGGCATCAGCCCCAGCATCAATGGCTATGAGTTGAACGGCGAGCCGGACCGCAAGTCTTCCAGCATTGCAGCCCTGCGGATGAAAGCCAAGGAGCACAGTGCTGCCATATCGTGGGCAACATGACAGGGCTGCTGCTTTTGCCCTCGAGAAACGGACAGCTCAAGCAGGACAGATGACCCAAACCCTCTGCTCTTGGACTGGGTGGCCATGTGAGCCCTCCTCAGAGGTCTGAATGCAGCACTTTTCGCTTCCTTAGGGAGAATGGCATGGTGCCGATTGCCGTATTTGGAGTGTTTTAAGCATGTAGGCCTTTCCCCCACCCCTCTTCCAAGGAACAGGAATGTGGAAGTCAAGAGAGGATATTTCTCCTGCATCAGACAAACTTGAGTTTTCGATTCCCCTTGTGCTGTTGTTCTCCTAATTGCCTGTTTGCCATTGTTCTTGCTCTATCTAGCATGAAAGCTGCCTCCCACCAAGGAGTCCATCATGCAATCGTTGGCCTTTTCCACAGAAATATCGGGGTGGGGGTAAGGGAGGATTCCAAAGTGTGCCGTCTTTCTTTTTAAATAGTCCTATATTTTCCCATGACATCCTCCCTCCCTTCTCCCCTCCGCCCTCACATGTTTGACTACAGAAAGTCTATTAAAGTGGAGCTTGGAGGGGGGGAGAGATAAATAGCTACACAGGGTTCCTTGATTGGTAGCATTAGGAGCCCTTCATCTGCGAGTTCATCTGATTTCTTTCTCTCTCTCTTTTTGTCAAACAAACAAGAAAACAAAGGCCAACCCACAATTTCTGTCTAATTGCTCCCATGTGAGCTCTTTTGAAACCTTCAGGTTTTAATGGAACAGAAGGGGTTTATATATGATCTCTAGCACCAAAAGGCATGTGGTTGCTATCACTGTAGATGGCTGGTGCCAAAGTCTGAGGAGACGGGGTGCATTTTGATTGGGGTACCCTATACCAAAGTTGCCATACAGCAACATGAACTTCATCCAGACCTTATCTTCCATGTGAATTGTGTGAGTTTCTGAGTTGCTTTATGTCATTTTTCTTTTATCCTGACATTTCCCTCCCTTCAATCTCCTGCAATGCAATAATGCATAGACAAGGGATAGACAATAATGAAAGCATGAGTCAACTGTGGGTTCAATGAAAGGCACGCTAAGAATATAACTCCCCCTAAACAGAAATTGGGGAGGCGTGATGGCTCAATGGTTAAAGACGTTGAGCTTGTCAGCTGGAAAGTTGACAGCCTGGGTTCAGAGTGCCACATGGTGGGAGTGAGATCCCATTATTTGCCCCAGTTTTTGCCCACCCAACAGTTTGAAAGCATGCAAATGCGAGTAGATTAATAGGTATCATTTTGGTGGGAAGGTAACAGCATTCCGTGCACCTCAGCGTATAGTCATGCTGGCCACATGACCACGGAAACGTCTTTGGACAGCGCTGGCTCTTCGGCTTTGAAACAGAGATGAGCACCATTCCCTAGAGTCGGACATGAAACCTTTACCTTTAAGCAGAAATTACAAAGAGACATACATCTCCATACGGCCACTTTGCAATCATAACCCCATGAACTGATTCTGACAGGAAATCAAGGACACCTAGGCTAGTGTAAACCAAATCAATCTTTTTTATATGCTACCTAATGTTTGGGACACTCTGACTTTGGTACCCCATCCTCATCACACCAATGCATTTATTGCAACCTCAGTAAAACCAGTTGTGGGAGTTAAATTAATTAGTTTAATGGTTGCATAACCTGATGTTTGGTTTCAATGACGAACCAAACAGGGAGAAAATCTGTGGGCAGCAAAGGAAAACGTCTCCCTAATTTCTCACATCGGCCTGCTCTTGCAGTTCTGAAAGAAGGCCAGTTTAAAGGATTTACTTGTTTAGATTGATATTTGACATACAAACTTTGGAGTAATAACTAAAGAGTTTGATGCCCACTGCCATGGGCAATACACCCACTTCAAATGCTGCCTTTCTGTTGTCGCTATCAAGTTGTTCTTTCTTCAAACTCTGGTTTCCTCTCCACTCAGTGGAGGTAACTCAAAGGCCTATCTTGAAGAAATAAAGCAAGAGGATTCCCCCCCCCCACTTAGTTGGAAATTCTTTTTTTTTTTCCCCAGCCCAAAGCGAAGTAGCAGACACAGGCCTGCCTCATGTTGTTCCCATTCATCAGGATAATCACATTTTCCCAATTTCCATATGTTTGCCCTCTTTAAAAAAAGGATCAAAGAGGATTTCGGTCCAGCCAAGCTGAGATTCTGTTCAAAAAGCTGAAAGGGTGCTTGGGTTTTGCGGTTTCTACAACAGGCATTCACATCCACTAGAGGAGAGAGACTTTATGCTTAAAACTGTCTTAGCTGGCTTTTAAGGAGTGTTTGTTTGGTTAGTAACTACTGGGCTTTCCTTTTTCTAGCGAGCAGTTGCTTCGCAGGCTTTGCCATACCTTTTAATGGGCTTCAGAGGAAAAGCAAGATTTTCACCATCCTTAGGGCACAAAGCCACCGGGGAGGGGAGGTATGACCTTCGGATAGCCATGCTAGAAAGGGAGCCTGCAGCTGGGAAGGCATATAATGAAACAGGCATAACACACCAAGGAAGAAAAAATCTGTGTCAAATCTGAAGAGGGGCAAGAGAGAGGATGCATTCATTTTATAGGGATGGAGTAGAAAAAGCAGGGTTATACTTGGGGGTTAGGAAGGCATCTCCTCCTCTACCTCTCAATGCATTGTTAATCCCAGAACATTTCTTGGGAGCTCCAGCATTTCTGACCAGCTGTAGGAATAAGACACATCTGTCTGTAGCATGCAGAGTAAAAAGGCCTAAACTTTTATTCCTTTGGAGATCAGGTGCATTTTTCAAGTCAAAAGCCACAGTTAAAAAATATTTTTAAAAAATCAAATTAGTCAATACTTTGGAGTTCCATTGCATTCAGTGGGAGTACAAAACCTCATTAAACTTATTGCCCCATGGGGTAAGTATGGTATGAAGAAAATGTTGTAAGTTATCAATAGAAGGGCTACCTTCATAAGGCATTTTAGGTGCTCATAAAATGAAAGAGCAACTCTTTTATACCTGCTGTGCTGTGTTTAAAGACAGTTCCCCCCCCAAAAAAAAACCCCAACCATTCCTTTTTTAAAAAAGATTGAAACATCCCAAGCAGTGATGTCATTACTTTCCATCACTGGAGATCAATGAGCCATCAAATTATTTTAAGGCTATCCATGAGAATCAGACCCTGAACTCTCAGGAAAGTCATGATGACATGATTGCATAACAGTCATAATCCATGCTTAATCACATTTTTGTGTTCCTGGGTGTGCTTTCCTAGGAAAACACATTTGTGTGCATGCTGACTCCAGGTATGTTTATTTTATAACAGCTAGGTTTGCCATCTTTGGGATGAAGGAGAAGATCACTTGTAACTGGGAGATACTAGTTCTGCACACATTTCTTTGTTTTCAGCTGGTAAAAAGGACTGGAAATAGAATGCTGCTGCTACTTGAGCTGTTCAAATTGCCATTGCAGCTTTTCAAAGCTTTAAAACAGGCAATAATAATTTTGGCAAGTTCTTTTACTATCTGTTCATCTCATGTCATGTTAGTTCCCAAGTGGCTTTGAATGTGAACAATACAAGTGTACATCAACAACATATACTTCAAAATGTGTTTCAGGAGCTGTGTGATGTTCAACCCAATATGGTACGGTATGCATCAATTCCTTGAAAAACCAATGATGGAATAGCCCATTATATTAATTCTCAGCCTTCCTCTCATTAATAGGCAGAATTATCTAGGGCTCTTTGCTCTTCACAACACTGGCCAACAGTGAATGATGGACAAAGAAATGACATACATATGAGAAACACGGGAAGGGGGGGGGGAATTCAACATAGGAATACCTTGTGCATGTGTGCCCATGATATCAAACATAGCATTTAACTGTATCATAATGTCAATGAAACCCTTTTCTTGAAATACCTCCTGAACAAGGGAACTCCATTAATGGCAACAGCACAAGATGTGAGGCTATACAGAATACTGATTGTGAGCACCAGAGGCTTTCTGGATGCCCAACAGTAGCAGCTGGTTTTCAATTGTCAAGCTATAGGCCAGGAGTTTGGGTAGAGGGAGCAATCAATAATAAATTTCCTTGGGGGATGAGGAAAGAGAGACCTATCTTACCTTCTATTCCATTGGTAAATGATGATAAAGGCAGCAAAGCCAGCATAGCCACCTGTAAGACTTGTGGACTTTAACTTCCAGAATTATCCAGCTGCCATGGCCTGGCTGCAGTGGTGGGGTTCAGCCAGTTTGCACCACTTCAGGAGAACCGGTTGTTAACTTTCTGAGCAGTTTGATGAACTGGTTGTTGGCAGAAATCATCATTGCAGAGAACCTGTTGTTAAATTATTTGAATCCCACCATGCCTGGCTGGCTGGGAATTCTGGGAATTGGAAGTCCACAAGTCTTAAGAGTGGCTAAGGTTGGACACCCTTGGGCTAAATGAAGGGGTTAGTGGGTTTTTCCCCTTGTTTTTTTTTTAACAGGGCATTTTTGTATCTGTCTCTCTTTTTTCTTTCTTTCACTCATTTAATGATTTTTGCCTTGTCTCAAATCATACCCCAAGGTTTGCAAAATTGCAAAGCATTTTGAAAACAAACAACAGTGAAAAAAAGGTAGTTTCCTAGAAAGTAATTTGAAAAAATAATCAATAAGACACAGCTGCTGAGAACTTTGTTTATTTTGCTGCTTTGACTGACACAGGAAAAAAACAAACATTTGGAGGGTTTTGTTTTTTTTTAAAAGAAAAATCAGCCGAAATGGAAACCTAGATGAAAGCTTTTTCACTGCTTTCAGCTTCATGGCTGGCATTTCAGGGAAGTCAAGGTAAACTTTTTATCCTGCCCCAACTCTTATTAACAATCCAGTCCTCCTTCCGCATAAATAGATAGTGCTAGGACCTTTGTACTACTGATCTTGAAGGGCAGTTTTCAATTGTGTAATAATATATCTGTTTTGGGGTGTGCAGTGACTGAAAAGGAGAATGGGAGAAAAAAAAATCAAAATAAAATAACCTCAGTCAATTGCATTGTTGTAAAATATTGT